CAAATATAGCTTTGTCCTGACCACTTCGGGTACCGCCTAAAATACTTTAAATATTCAAAATATTAGAATACGTAGGTATGTTTAAACAAATCAGTACTACTTACTACTCCATTATGGACGAAGAAAAACATTTATTATGTATACAATAAGCATGTTTTATGTTTGTTTGATTTCTCTACAACTAGGTTTGCTTCGAATGAATTTTTAGTACCACCGTAACATTTTAATATAATATCCTTAATATTAAGCCAAACAAATTGAATGAGAACTTGAATTAAATATTTTCAAAGGTTTTGATTATAGTCTGTCCAACGATTCAGAAGTCATTTCGACAGACGACATCCAATAAATGACAAAGTATACAATTTGCCTGTGAATCAAAATGACAGATAACCGTGAACCAAAATGACAAACCTGTCACGTATGTGTCTGATTTAAAGCCCGCGAAGAAGGTTGTTTTAAGTTATCAGATTAAATGTTGACAACATTTATGTATATGAACAATTTTACTTGATTCGTTGAGGATAAATACGTAAAGATGAAGTGATACCAAGATTTTTTTTTCTTTGAAACATCTTGACTATTATAAATCAATTATTAAAAACATTGACAAGGTTTTCTTCAACTCTTGATATATAGAGTGGTCCAACTGTATTCCGGAAACTTCTGCAGCATATTCTACAGATAAAAATAAGTAAAAAGTTTGTATAAATATATGTCATAAAATGCTTAGTTTCTGTGTTACAGGGTGTAGAAGTTTCATTTTTATTTCAATTTTTTCAAAATAATTTCTGAAGTAACGTCAATATTTTGATGGTCTGAAGAACTGAAAGAAATTTTATTTTTGTGTAAATAAGACTCCTACTTGTAGAGGGCGCCACCTACTATATTTTTAAACCGGTTTGAAAAGTAATATCTTTTCGTTCGTATATACTATTATTCTATATAAAACTACTGAGTAAAAAAATATACATTTACGACGCTTTTTACCTAAAAAAGTCTCTTAGTAAAAATTGCTACGAGTAATGGTGCTCGAGATATTGGAAATCGAAATTATTAATAGGTACCTGTCATCAATGACATAAATTAAACCTGTTGACTAAATAGTTATTATCTTAGACAAGGAAAGAGAGGGGAACATGCATATTCTCCAGTGAAAAATTTTTGAGGCAAAAATTTGATCGGCGGCCATACATTGGTGACAAGTTTTCGAGGTGACACCAAGCGAATTTTTCTGTTTTTTGTGAATACTGTTTTGTTTTAAATTTATAAACTGTATTGTTTAGTATGGTGAGATGTTCAGCGTATGGCTGCAAAGGGGCTAAAGCGAGAAAAAAATGACTGGAATTACATTTTACAGGTAAAAGTTGATACACAACTTGTGCTATGTAGTCATAAAATGAACATTTTTTTCATTATAGCAGTAAAAATATGTAAAATGCTTTTAATATGTCTTGTACCACATCCAACGCAAACTATTTTTATTAATTCCAAGTAGTATTTTCAATATCCTATATTATAATTAATGTTTGAAACTATAAATAATGCTACTCAGACAGGATTTCTCCAGTGGCGTAGGGTATTACAATCAGAGAAATGCAATTTCTGCAATAAACATTTTTTTATACATTTTGCATGTAAAAAAATGTATAAAGTATTGTTATCAAATATGTAAAATAATAATTGTAAACTATTAAAAAAAACATGAAAAATTTTGGTTATAAAAAATCTATATGTATAGTTGTTACATAAAACTTAAATTTAACTGCCAAGATTTGCTGGGGGTGGACAAACTTGTGGTGGGGTACTTGTTACAATATTTTTTTTTAAATATCCTTTCCAAAAATTTGCTAGTTTAGGTGTATAATAATAGTTTTAGTGAGTAATTAATAAAAATTTAAAAATAAATAAATAAAATAACACAAAGCTTCTAGAATTGTTTTTTTTGCGGAAAATTAAGATATTCTTATGATTGAAAGTAACAAATATTAAAAATTACATTATTAATTGAATCCGTAGGCAAGTGTGAAGGGGATTGGCTAGATTCATTATTATACCGTATGATCGAAAAAAAAACCGGCGTCCAGTTGGCTTGTAAATGACAGTCGATGATATTCCTCTCAGTCTTTTTTCGATGCTGTTGTTTTTCGATCATACGGTATATGTATATATACATGTTTAACACATATATTTACATTATTTTTTATTTAATTATACATTATAAACACGATAATAAATAAATAATTGTCTTGATGATCAGTTCACTGTGAGTGTTAAATAAATTTTGCATTATCGGCTTAGATATTCTAATATTATAAAGGTGAGACTATAAAATACAAAATTGTATATGCATTACTCAAAAATGAACGATATATTAGTTTACGTTTTAATAAATATTTTTTATCGTCTCGGTACAAGCTAATTTCTTATGCTCCGCCATTGGAGAATTTCGCGTGGTGACAAGTGGCTTCACTTTCAACTGCCGTGTTTCCTGTCACCTCTCTTTCCTTGTCTAAGGTTATTATACTGAAATCATAAATTTGAAATGTTTTTGTGTCATAAGCACAGATAAAAGAAAATAATCTACTATTGTCATAAGTTCAACTATCTAATCAATATTATGTTTATTTTTTGTCAATAATGACACGTATTGACTATTTCCATTCGAAATATCTTAAAAACGGTTTGCTCGTAGCGATTTTTATCAGACATTTTTTGCGTAAAAATATCACGGAAATGTATATTTTTTCACTCGGTAGTTTGATGCAGGTACAGACAAAAAGTTATTACTATTCAAAACAGTTAAAACGCATGTAGGTGGCGCCCCCTACAAATAGGAGTCATATTGACATCAAAATCAAATTTATCATGTCAAAGAACCCCCGACACCAACTTTCATTGAAATATTGACGTTACTTCAGAAATTATTTGGAAAAAATCGAAATAAAAATGAAACTTCTACACCCTGTATCTCCGAAACTAAGCATTTTACGATATATGTATATTTAAACGAACTTTTTTACTTATTTTTATCTGCAGAATATGCTGCCGAAATTTCCGGAATACAGTTCGGACCACCCTGTATATTATTTGGTAAAATATAAACCAGACTATCAAACTTAATTTGTAAATTCAGTTTATTATAAACTTGAGAACTTTTTTTACCCTAACTTTGACACACCCTGTGCAATAATTTCGTGTGCAAATTCTCCTAAAATATAATTTTACGGTCAGAACCATGTCTCCTGAGTATTTTGTTTTTTGGACCATATCAATACATGCCTTGGTTAATTTTTAAGAGTGAAATGAACTTGCCACCAACAATTTCCAATTTTTTCAATTATAATTTCTTTTTGAAGTTTTTTTTTTGAATATGACAAGGCAGCTTTGGTGGTTATTGTGAACTGTATACTACTATGAACTGCCCATCATGTTCGACGTTTGGGAAATGCTTGGCAGAAGGGTTAGAGATCGCGAAGCATTACCAGCTTTATTAAATGAACTTCGCTTGGTTCTTAAAGAAGAATGGGAAAGTATAACGTAATATGATATACGCAGCCTCAATGACAGTATGAACGGACGTATACAGACAATTATAACAGCTAAGGGAGGCAATACAAAGTATTAGGATATTTTTTACAATTTTTTTGTTTGTATACTTCAAGATTACAGATGTTTTCTTTAATATCGTTAGTTCTGTTATCGTTATTAATGTTTATTAAAACCAGGAGAGTATCGTTAGTCTTTAGCGTTTCTTTTTTTTTAATTTAGTACAGAGTATCCGTTGCAGGCATAATACATTAGCGTAACTAGCAATTCATCCTGAGGGGGGGGGGAGTAGGGTGGAACACTGAGGGGGTGTTCTAGGTATTTTGTATTTTAAAAAATGAAGAATAATATCATAAAAAATAAATACATTGTTTGAATAAAACGTTTACATGAATTTCTCTATCAATAAATTTGATATTTTGATATACTTGGTTATATCAAGGTTATATCAATCCTTGTTCCCGTGGATTACTTTTATACCTACAAATTTTCTAAAAAAAAACAAAAACTAACACACATTTCTTGAACACAGAAAAATAATATTAGCTAAATAAAAATGAAAAATAATTTTTACTACATCACAAGCAAATAAAAATTAATATTTAGCCGAGAGTCATCATTCAGTAAAGATTCAATATTTCTCTGGGGGGTGCCCAGCAGTATCTAGTGGGGGGGCCGGCACCCCGACACCCCTGTGCATAATATGATGTTACGACAATAGTCAGGAAAACCATCTGGTCTTATTAAAAAAAAACATCAAATGTAATGATAATTGAAAAAATTGCATCGTAATCGTGATCAGTCCATTTCGCTCTTAAAAATTATCCAAAGCGTGTATTCACATGATCCAAAAAACAAAATGCTCAGGAGGCATGGATCTTACCGTGAAATTATATTTTCGGAAAATTTACACACTAAATTATTGCACAGAGTGTAAAGTTAGGATATAAAAACAACCCCTCGATTAACCCTGTATAATTACTAAAGTTTACAAAAAACTGAGTTTACGAATTAAAGTTGTGATTTATTATATTATATTTATTAATTATATACAGTGTGCTAAAAAAATCATGAAAATACGGCTAAAAATAACAAAAATATAACACTTTAAATTTGACCAAAAAATTCACTGATGCGTTTTTTTGCATCTGAGTGTATAATAACCCTATATTTTAAGTACCATCATCTAATACACCCTTTAACCAATTGTTAAATATTTACTACCTTCGACATAAGTACGAATGTATTTCTACTTTTCCAAACGGTACCACCTTGCAAAATTAAGGTACCACCAAAAATTGCACCCTCCAATTAACCAACACCACGCTTCGCCTTGCTTCGTGGCTGGTTCGTACCAAGAGCCATCATCATCTTCTAACTGTTAAGCCCGACTCTAGCAACGTCGATAGCCGAAGTAGCGTCCAATGGTACCACCGGCCGTTGGTACTCTTCGTTGCGTAAAAGCTGCAGCTCGACCTTCTTAGCCTTACTCCCATAGCGGAAGGCCTGCGAGTCGTAGAGGTGCAGCATCTCTATTTTCGGCAGGTAGTCTAGCAGGACTGGTGGTACCATTGCTCAGCAATAGACCAACTACCCTTCAAGGGCTTGAAGAGAAGTAGCAGGTACCGTTTTTCGTACTCCGTTTGTGACGAGGACAAATTCTTAGTAGCGGTTTCGGTGACATTGACTTGTGTGTGAAACGTATTCTAGTGAGTGTCAAGTTCAAGAGACAGTACTTCTGCGGGTTTAGTACAAATATAGTTAAGCTCCATTATTTTAAAGGTAAGATATTGAAAATAACCAAATACGTTTTTTTTCTGAATTCATAAACTTTTTATTTTATTTTTATATTTTTTTTATGAAATTTTTGTATGGTACTAATTACATGAAGAAAATTTAAGCGCCGACAATTTTTGCAAGCACACAAAATATCGTTTTTTTTTTTCAAACATCACAAAAGTATTAATTTTTGCGACGTGATTGATAATATAAAAAAGTAATTTTAACGCCTAGGCATAAAAGTACGAAAATATATTATTAAACAGGGATCAATTGTCAAATTCAACGAGCGTAACCATAGTTTGTCGATATATAATTGCTTACAAGGTATGAACTTTTAAATATTTTTATATTATTGGAACGTTTAAAATTTTTTAAAAAATTATTTGTGACTTTTGAAAAAAATATAGCATCTTCTATTGCTGAGATGTATTGATTTCACACACACATTATTTATTTTATATTAATTTTTATTATTTTATTGCATTTGATTTTCCGTATTCAATGTTTTACCCTACGTCATTATTAAGTTTGAAAGCTTATCTCAATATTGTAACGATGAATAGATTAAATATTTAAAAAAACAGAGCCGGACTTAACATTAGTTTAAATAAATTGTGCCCAAATTTCCGAAACAAAAAAATATAAAGTGTGGCATATCGTTGTACTCAAGAAACCGAGTTCTTTCATTACCTGAAATAAAAAATGCAGGTCCGTATTTAAAAAAATTAAGTTGGCCACTGTATCTAACAAATTATCAGCTAATTTGAAAATATAAACATAGTGTCAGATAGTCCTAATAAAGTGGCAATGAGAATGTGCAATTAGTTTTTTGATTTTATAAAAGCAACGTCAGAAAAAATTAAAATTGATTTTCAAAAAAATCCGTTTTTTCCAAAAAATTCAGCAATCGTCAGCAACGTTTTTGATGGCATCTTGGTGAACATCCCAAAGCGCAACTTTGCCCTAATTTAACCATGTTCGTATCTATTACGGTTACCGATATATCAATGCACGTACCTCGAATTTGTAGCACCCTGTATATATTTGTTGGTTTTATTTTAAAAATTGTCCTATACTAGTATAGGACTATTTAAAACGATATATACTATCAACGATCAACAAATATTTTATTAGAATATTATACAGGGAGTAAATGAATATGTATGAAAAAGTTCAGCTAATTATTGTTTTAACTAAAATAATGAAAATTATCTCTTCTTGAAAAACTGTTTACACTTAAAAAGGTATATTTGGTGTTATAAAAGTTACTAACATAAATTGCGTTTTTAGATAAACTTGTGATAATTTTTATATCTCCTATTAACAACCATGAAATCAAAGTTTATCAATAAACCAAAAAATCAGTAGTTTAAAATATATGTACATAGTTTTAATTTACCCTATATTTAAACAAATACCCGTGTAGTTTGTCGAAAAATGTGATTTTGAAAATCACATTACTTTTCAAAACACAATAACCTCAAGATTTTTGTTTGGTACTAATTCAGGTACACCCTGTATTTTAGAATATCTCTTAAATAATTACTGTTATATAAACAGATATAATATATTGATGAGGCATTCAAGGACAAAAAGTTAGTTGCCTTGTGAAATTCTTTCGGAAGAATTTAAAAATAAATAATTTTTCTTACTTGACATAACGGTACTTTATTGTATGAGTTTAGAATTGTTTTCTTAAATGATTAGGAAGATCTACAGAGAATCACTGTTTGCACTAGAAATTTTTGCTTTTAAATCATCTGTGACGTGAACAAGTGACAAAATAAGCAACATGACTAAACAAATAAGATGATGGGTAAAGTAAAAAAAATATAAATAAATCAAATATTTAAAATATTAATACCAAAAACTAGAAAAATAGAAATACCATGCACAAGCCATTACTTATTTCTATTGACTATTAAAGTTTTTTTAATTTAAAAATATAAATAAAATAAAACTACAATTATTTTATTAGAAATGAAATATTAGATAATATGATATAGATATAAACAGTTCTTGAACGTTTATTACATGTTTACTTTTACACATTTTTGAGAGTATCACCGTTCAAACAACAACAATTAATTGTCATTTAAGAACATAAAAAGAACGTAAAAAAAATTGTAATTCTTGTTCAACGAGATTCCTAATAAATAAAATAAATAAATAATGCCTTTATTGTCAAAAAATGTTACAATTTGAAGACAAAGGTAAAGTAGACAAACAAAAGAGAATACAAAACAAGTATACAAATTACATTGTCAGTCTTATTGTTTAAAATAAACATTTATAAATATTTACAATGTCAAAGAATAAAAAAATAAAAATGTTTACAATGTCAAAGAATAAAAAAATAAAGATAAGAATCAAAAATATTTAGTAAGTTTATACAAGATATAGTAATAACCTATGGTAATAACAAATATTAGACCAGTATTTACAAGATCAAATTCGATTATCAAAATATAAGTCATTTACGGTGCAGAAAGCCTTGTCTAGTAAATAAGATTTCAATGCTTTGCGAAATGAAGAAAATGATGTTATGGATTTGATTTCAAATGGCAGGTGATGGTGCATTTTTTTCGAGTTGTATAATATTGAACTTTTAACTAACTCTGAGCGTGGGGTAGGTAGATAAAGATCTTGCTCCGCGTTCCTGAGTGGATAAGTGTGAGATGGCCTTTCTTGCTGATACATGCTTTCGTATTAAGCAAACGGATTCAAATATAAATAAGGAAGAGTTAATATTTTTAATTTTTTAAAAAAGTCCTGGCAATGAGTTCTGCTGTTTAGTCCCAGTGAATATCGAACAGCTCTCTTCTGGAGCTTGAAAATGCGGTCAAATTGAGTCGCACAACACGTACCCCAGAATGGAAGTGCATACCTGAGGTGCGACTCAAAAAGTGCATAATAAACAGTTCTAGCCACTGACAAGTTAAGCTCCTTAGAAACAGATCTTAATGCAAAACAGGCAGAGTTTATTTTTTTTCGACAAAGCGTCGATATGCATGTCCCATTTTAGAGAATTGTCTACAACTAGCCCTAAGAATTTTACAGATTTTACGACGTCAATGGTGGTGTTAAGTACAAAAGGCTGCAGCGTCTTTTTATACGACAAAGCTTTAGTTTTAGAAACATTGAGACTCAAGAGGTTGGAATCGCACCAAGATTTAATGGTGATTAAGTCATTTGATATAATCCTATGAAGTGCCGTGGCGTCCTTGTTACTCCAAGTAAAGCTAGTGTCGTCCGCAAAGAGACATATTTTACCACTGAGTATATGTTAGCAATGTCGTTAATAAAAAGAAGAAAGAAAATAGGGCCTAGTATTGAGCCTTGAGCTACTCCTCATTCTATTGGCTTGCTAGAAGACAACGTGATATCCACCCTCACAAGTTGACTTCTGTTGCTCAGATACAACTTAAACCATTCGAGAGATGTTCCCCTGAACCCATAGTGCTGCAGTTTATTTCCAAGAAATGACAGAAAATAAAACCTACATGTGAATTAAAATAACAGACAACTGACGTTGTCACAGGGTTGAAGGCCTATACCTACCTAGATATTCGCTTATCTTTGTTTATAAAAATGATCAAGATTGATGCTCTGACTGCTATGCATGTACTTGGCATGTACACGAGATACATGACACAAGCGAACATGACCAGCTGGTACTGAATATGCTGTACTAAAATATAATCTTTAACAAATTAAAAAAAAACTTATTTAACTGTTTAAACTCTTTACAGTTACATAATTTTATGATTTATAGGGAGTAAATTGCTCATTAACCATGTCGACTACACAAAAGTTCCGAAAGTGCAGAAAGAAAGAACCAAAAATGTCGGTTTCTTGAACTCGACCGTCTCATTTTTTTGGTTCTCCTTTCAAAATAATCATCGCTCGTGTCATCTCCTTTCGGCGGTCAACTTCACGCCCATAGTAAATTTTAAATAACCGTTCTTTAGTCTTTTTTCGGGCTTTTCGCTTCCTGTTACCGATTTAATACGTAACTTTTATTAGTTTGTTTTTATTATGTGAATAGTTGTTGATGTTGGAGCCCAATAAAAAGATCCGTTATATACGAATATTTCCACTAATTATTTATTACTTGCAATAATTGGATGTCGATATATAAAATTAAAAAAAAATGCCAAATTTAGTGTGAAAGTCTAGTATTTTTACAGAATATTATGGTAATCTCTGTTTCTTAGATTGCTTTTTTAACTGGATCTTAGATTGATCTCAATTTTTAGATTTTTCAATGTTAGGTAAAGAAATCCGAAAATTATTAAATACAGTAAAGTTCATATCATACCAAATAAACTTTTAATCACGTGATTAAGCTTAACCGGCACAGCGTTGTCCACTTTTATATATATATTCTTTTAATCAAAATATTTTAGGAAACAAAAATAAATTAATTATAAATATACAGGGTGTCATTGAAATGGTGAAAAAATCGGGGGGTGATAGTACTCCTAAAAATAGTAAAAAAAGTTCCTATAAGTATAGGGCGGAAAATACATATTAAGGGAGTTAGGGGCACTGAAAGGATGAATTTGAAAAATGGTTGTTTTGAAATTGTAGGCTTAAAACACGAGATAAAATTTCGAAAAAAAATAAATTTTGACCCTAAACCAAATGGTGATACTGAAAAATTATTTGGAAAAGCGGAAAGGGTAGTTCTTGCAAGGGTAGGGGGTTGTTTCGTGAATAACTTGTTTGAGGTTATTTTTTTTGCAACGTGGGTTCGTTTTTTGAAAACTATATAGTTTTTCCTACAAAAAAGATACTCTTGTTGCATATCGCCCAGAGCGATGGTTTTCGAGAAAATTGAAGAAAAAGAGTTCGCCCTGATGGGTTGCTAATTGGTTAATCAACATAAACTTATGAAAGTTCTGGCGGTTCAAAAAGTAACCAAGTAGTTATCAAATAATTAATTGAAAAATCAAAATTTCATGATTTCTAAAACATCTTATTGCTTTAAAAACGAA